AGTTATTAACATGATGATTGCACACAAAAAGCAACTCAAATTGTTAAAGGTAATTAATGAAATCACAAAAGCTTAATAATGGAAATACATTGCCCAAAAAACCTGGTTTTAGCACGAAAAAATGGCCAAATTTAGAAATGTTTATTTTTCAGACTATTAAGTCACAGACCTGCGCTAGGTCTCATTTTTTAGAAAATTTAACGCTGAACAAGACGGCTTTTTAAACGTTTTTCTAGCTTCAGTCATTCATCAGTAACTTCAAAAATTGGGAACATGTTAATTTTTGCACTTCTTAGGGAAACTTCAAATTTAACTGTGGAACCTGGAAATCCTTGGAGCCGCGCACTATAGCAATCGATAGGAAATTATGATAAGATTTCAATTGGTAACCNTAAACGTTTTCCTAGCTTCAGTCATTCATCAGTAATTTCAAAAATTCTGGAACATGTTAATTTTTGCACTTCTTAGGGAAACTTCAAATTGAGCTGTGGAACCTGCACATCCTTGGAGCTGCGCACTAAAGCAATTATGATAAGATTTCAATTGGTCACCTTCCACTTTGCCCGAAATCTCAACCGTTTTCGAGTTATTCGCCATTTTTGGCCAAAAAACCGACTACCTGGTTTTTGCACGAAAAAATGGCTACTTTTAGAAATGCATATTTTCTCAGACTATTAATCCACAGACCTGCGCTAAGTCTCATTTTTTAGAAAATTTAACGCTGAACAAGATGGCTTTTTAAACGTTTTCCTAGCTTCAGTCATTCATCAGTAATTTCAAAAATTCTGGAACATGTTAATTTTTGCACTTCTTAGGGAAACTTCAAATTGAGCTGTGGGGCCAGGAAATCGTCTTTGGATTGGTACATTATAGCAATAGATAGGAAATTATGATAAGATTTCAATTGGTAACCTTGCATTGCAAAATACTTGCTCCCGAATTTTTGAAATTACAAATGAATAACTGAAGCTAGGGAAACGTTTAAAAAGCCAACTCGTTTAGCGTAAAATTTTCTAAAAATTGAGACCTAGCGCAGGTCTGTGGCTTAAAAGGCTAAGAAAATTTGCATTTTCAAAATAGGCCATTTTTTCGTGCAAAAACCAGGTGGTCGGTTTTTTGTTTGATGGACATTGTCGAAATATAGACATCATAAAAAACAAAACAATTGAAAAATTGTACAAATGCAGACATTGCATGGCTATTCCTGTTTGACAGGTTTCATAGAAATGAAACAATACCATCAAAATATTATTACTCTTGTATAGAGGGTTTAGTCAGTCGAACCATAAGTTCATAAAGGAAATATGATTAAGAATTGTTCCATTGATTATTCGGAAATCGTGAGATGCGGTCTGGTGTGATGTAAGTTTCAGAAAAAACATTTTCTTTATCGTGCCAACGTTTCGATCTTTATTGAGATCATCTTCAGGGCCTGGGATTCACAAACATTGTTTAAATTTAACAAATACATGTAGGATATGAAAAAAAGTGAAGTTATACAATGCAAAAAATATTGTTTACATTCAATCAAAGTATTTCTACTCACTCAAAGTGTTTGTTTTCTGCTAGAAATACTTTGATTGAATATAAAAAATATTTTTTGTATTGTGTAAATTAACTTTTTTCCACATCCTACATGTATTTGTTAAATTTAAGCAATGCTTGTAAATCCCAGGCCCTGAAGATGATCTCTATAAAGGTTGAAACGTTGGCACGATAAAGAAAATGTTTTTCTGAAACCTACATCACATCAGACCGCAACTCACGATTTTCAATAATCATCGACTAACGGTCACTAATCACCACACATTGTCCCATTATTAATTTGGAAAAAACCTTAAAAAAAAGAAGAAGAAAAAGATAACATTTAATGTCACAGTTGGCAGATTTCAATAGGACCACTTGTTCTGATCCTTAATAATACAAAAAAAAAGGGTTGTTATGTAAATATTTCTGGATGGCAGTCACAAAACGAGAATAGTTATTCATTATTTAATAGAACAGAGAATCAGTTTTATTGGAACTTGCCCAATTGTGGCTTAGTACAATGTATTATAATATTTGGAACGTTTGATGTCATGTTCGTAAATTAATAAACGATAGTTGACAAATTTGTTAGTATTTTGTTATTTGGCCGGAACCAGGAAAGAGAACTCATCAATATGAAATAATGTAGCATAAATTCAACAACATATTTGCGATTTAATACTAATGTGTGGGAAGTTTACTGGCCGAAAAAACAGCTGAGGTCATGGCCGTCTTTGTCCCGTACGTGTTTGTTCTTCTTTATATGGTCTTTCACGCGTATTTTTCAACCTGGAGCTAGTTGTGCGTCTCGATCTGTTACTGACTCTACTTCTATTGTATATGAAAACTACGTCGATTTTCTACAATGGTAGCCTCTCATTTGTACCTCCGGTTGTCAACTACATAATAGATGTAAAACATAAAATACATCACCAAAACATAAAAGTCTGGTCGCATTCTCTCCCCGAGAATACCCGATATTCCTCGGGGGGTCCAATCCAATTCTCGCTAATAACTTACTATTACACTCTCCAGACGTCACACATTCACCTACGCACAGGTCTGACGATATGCCAAAATATTGCCTACATTTATCAATTATTGTACAATTAGCTGCCCGACTGTTAGTCTATCCTTGCAGAACGACACCTACGCGGTCGCTTAAAAGGATAAAAGGTTCCCGTGAGTTATTCATGTATGGCCTATGCGTAGTCAGTGTAGCCCTTTCCTTATTTGGCCCATTCTCCGTGAACCATACTTGCAAATTAAACCTTTAAAAATGTAAAAGGTTACAAAAGATTACTTGCTATATTATACTAAAAAAAGAATGAATTGGAAGACGACTAAAATTATTGTTTATTTTGATTAATTTGTTCATTGAGCCATCATTAAATTTTTAAGAATTGAAACTTCTATGAATCATCAATTTTAGTTTTTTTTACTGATCTTCATAGTTCTTTATTTTTCGTTTTGAACGGGTTCGAATTTTCCCTGTTTTTGCCGTTTTCAAATTTCTGTAATCAGGATTGGATTCTCGGCGACTTATGAAGTGGCCATTGGGTGCTGTTTAGTGATGTATTACTTCTTTTACTTATTAAATATTAATCATTTACGTTTTAGTGGTCAATTGACCAAGTTACTTCTTTCAATTAATTATTCGTTCCATGTAATGTATTGGTTGAGATAAAATAGTCAGTGTCATGAGCGGGATTCGAACCCACGACCTTCGGCTAAATACGCCGCTACTCTGCCACTTGAGCTATCGTGATTTCGATCCTCTCGGACACTCTCCAACTCAACCTACAACCATTCAAATTTTCCCTCTTTTTGCTATTTTCAAATGTGTATTGGATTCTCAACGACTTATGAATGGCAAAAAGAGCGAAAATTCGAACGGTTGTAGGTTGAGTTGGAGAGTGTCCGAGAGGATCGAAGTCACGATAGCTCAAGTGGTAGAGTAGCGGCGTATTTAGCCGAAGGTCGTGGGTTCGAATCCCGCTCGTGACACTGACTTTTTTTTATCTCAACCAAGTCCTTACATGGAAAGAATAAATAACTGATATATTAGATGAATTTGTGATGCTTTTTTACTAACTTACTAGTTCTTATTTAGATTTATTATTGTATCCTCATTGAGCGAGGATAAGTGTAAGAAATTTATTAAGTGGGTCATCATCGATTGATAAAGATGTCTAATGTTCTACGTTTTCTTCTTTTTATTACAAAAATTAATAAATTTAAAGTACTCTTGTATTTCATAGGCAGTTCTTGGAAAATTGAAAATAATTCGTTCGTTTGCATTATATTCGCGTTTTATGAAACTTTGCATCCAACAATTTTTAATAAATTGGGCTCCGTGTTTAGATCTGATAAAAAACAGACTGTAAAGTAATCGTAAAAGGAATTATTAGGTCCAATTACTGAACTTTGTTAAAATTAACACCGCAGTATTTCATGCGATAAGTAATTAAGATATTTTCAAATTATATATGAAAAAAAAGCTTCTGTGTGTAAAAGATTTTTTGCGAACATGCTAGCACTGAGTATTTTATTAAGTCGGATCAGAGATGTATCTATTTTGTGAGAAGTACTTGTTTGTAAAAGTTGCACGTGGTATGTTGGAAAAACAAAAATAATTGCTCGGAGATAATAAACGGATTGTTTTCTCCGTCTTTCCATCGGGACGGATGCCGTTGAACATAACAAAGAGGGTGCTCTCACATCTTCCTGAGTGCTTCCATTCAATCTCTCGGCCAATATACCGATTGTGCCCTATACTCAGGAGATCGCTTTCATTAGTGGATGTGCCTTTCCCTTCTGTCTGTCATGTTTATGTATGTTTTTTCCTCTATGGGACTTTTCAAACTTATACTTGGATCTCACGTTCTTGAAAAATACGACTGACGTCGCTCGTTGGCGGGGGGGGGAGCGGCCTACGGCAAATCCTTTTTCCCGATGACGCCCTTGATATCGGTGACAAAGTTTTCGTTTCCCGTCGCCAGAAAGTCGCAGGATTTGAGCTTTGGATATGTCAATTCCCAATAAATCGCCGGTCGACGGGATATCTTTTCTCATATCGTCGGAGTACGTTTTCGGAAATTAGAAAATAAAGAAGAAAAACTTTCTGGCGTATCTACTAAATTGACAGACATCAATTGTCTTAAATGTTTTCATTCCTTTTGAATTGTTTTCTCATCAGCTCTTTTCCCCCAAAAATAATTAAAAAACAAAGTTTTTACAAGGTGATTATTTACAATCCGAGCAACCAGTTCGAAGTAATTAAATTGTTTTAAGGACCACTATTACTCACAGATCACAATCAAAACTATAAACAATCGTAAATTAAAACACACAAATTAGACTAATTGCAGACGTAAAATAGATGTTAAAGTTTACTCATTCCCATTTAGAATATTCACCATCAAGTTCGTAAATACTCTAAAGCTGTCAATTGTTTTTGTCTGCAATTGTTGCAGGTACATGCTGAAGGCGCTGGACCTTTACTGGCACGAAGACTGTCTGAAATGCGGCTGCTGCGATTGCAGGCTCGGCGAAGTAGGCTCCACACTGTATACCAAAGCGAATCTCATACTCTGCCGGAGAGACTATCTCAGGTATAAAATAAAAAATTTAAAAGCTCTAGTTAAAATCTCATGAAACATCTAATGACGGATTCCCCTCATTACAGACTGTTCGGAAGCACGGGTTACTGCTCGGCTTGCTCCAAAGTGATACCTGCCTTCGAAATGGTAATGAGGGCGAGGACGAACGTCTACCACTTGGAATGCTTCGCCTGCCAGCAGTGCAATCACAGGTCGGTACAAGGATTTGTTAAAAATAAATTGAATTTGTCGCGGATTACAGGCCGTTTTGATTGGCACCGCAATAAAACGAGTCGGATCCAGGCCAAATAATTGTCCGGCTGATATGATGACAGCCTGAAATTGACTTCGCCGAACATCCCACAGAGAGGAAGTGAATGAAGGGAGCGAGGACAATATGAGGTCCGTTAGAGGAGTCTGAGGACGTCCACACAATTCCTTTTTATTGGACGGGTCCAATTCCTCAATTAATCGTCTTTCAAGTCGGAACAATCAAGTCGGCACAGGACGAGGAGATGGGGCGTTAGCCGATGCAATAAGAGCGCCCTTCCTCACGTGGGCCCAGTTACACTTAGTAGCCCTTTCAAAGCGGCCACTGGGAGATTCTGAAAATATCCAACGGAGTTTCAACATCTTTTACGACGGAACGAGTTCCAATTATTTCAATGTGTGGTATTTAGTGACCGTTAGTTAATGATTATTTGGAGATCGTGAGATGCGGTCTGGTGTGACGTAGGTTTTAGAAAAACATTTTATTTATCGTGCCAACGTTTCGATCTTTTTTCAGATCTTCAGGGCCTGGGATTTATAAACAATGTTCAATTGTTACAAATACATGTAGGATATGAAAAAATAATTTACACAATGCGAGAAAATTTTATATTAAAAAAATTAATTGCCAATTGGGCTTTCTTTTCCCTACTTATCCCCGTCTGTATAATCCTCAAAAGATAATCAGGACGAACCATTCCCCATTTTTTCCTATTGTCGGCTCCTTTCACCTCAAAGAAGCCGACTCCTCATATAAAAATGCAGTTCTATTCCCGACTTCCTTTCCCACCCCTTCAAAATCCATCGTATATAACCTAAAACAGCAATATCTCACTGGCACTCTCAACACGACAGACATGAATGACAACCTACACAGAAAACAAACACTTTGATTGAATTTAAAATTCTCTAGCATTGTATAAATTCATTGTTTTATCTAAAATTTTCTAGCATTGTATAAATTCATTGTTTTATCTAAAATTTTCTAGCATTGTATAAATTCATTTTTCAATCTAAAATTTTCTAGGATTGTATAAATTAATTTTTTTATCTAAAATTTTCTAGCATTATATAGATTTATTTTTTTTTAATCTAAAATTCCCTAGTATTGTATGAATTTATTTTTTAAAATCTAAAATTCCCTAGTATTGTATGAATTCATTTTTTTAATCTAAAATTTTCTAGCATTGTATAAATTCATTTTTTTAATCTAAAATTTTCTAGCATTGTATAAATTCATTTTTTTAATCTAAAATTTTCTAGCATCGTATAAATTTATTTTTTTAAATCTAAAATTCCCTAGTATTGTATGAATTCATTTTTTTACCTAAAATTTTCTAGAATTGTATAAATTCATTTTTTGATGTAAAATTTTCTAGAATTGTATAAATTCATTTTTTGATGTAAAATTTTCTAGCATTGTATAAATTCATTTTTTATCTAAAATTTTCTAGCATCGTATAATTTTATTTTTTTAAATCTCAAATTCCCTAGTATTGTATGAATTCATTTTTTTAATCTAAAATTTGCTAGCATCGTATAAATTCATTTTTTTAATCTAAAATTATCTCGCATTGTATCAATTCATTTTTTTATCTAAAATTTTCTAGCATTGTATACATTTTTTTTCACATCCTACATGTGTTTGTAAAATTCAAAATATGTTTATAAATCCCAGGCCCTGAAGATGATCCCAATAAAGATCGAAACGTTGGCACGTTAAAGAAAATGTTTTTCTAAAACCTACGTCACACCAGACTGCATCTCTCGATCTCGAAATAATTATTTCATGTCTTGGATAAATTATCTGTGATTAGACGACCTCCGCATAAAATTATTTTTGTAATTTTCATAAATCGTCTCCGCTGTTTTGCTACTTCTTTGTGTTTAAAGAAATCATTCTCATTGGTCGAGTTTTAGCGTTTTACGTCTATAAATCCCAATGTGAAAAGTGAAGAAAGCTATGGCGGCGGTAAAAGTCAAAACAATCGACTCCTCTCGGCCCATATTAAAAAGGTCTTACAAAAGAAAGAATTAATAATGGAAGAAAGGTTTCTAAAAGTGGCATTTGGCCGTTAAAGGTAGGTGAGAAGGGCATGAGGGTGGTGATATGTCGGGGAATTTACTTGGGTTTCCATGGGGACGAGCCGCTATTACTCATCAGTCGAAAGGCCACGTAATCTCGAGTCCTCTTTAATTAAAAGGCTCCCTTATGTCAAACCAGTAATTAGCAGGGTGATGTGCCCGTGGGATGGGGCACTCGACTCATTTTCCCCGTCGAAATCGATATTCGGCCCGGCCGTGCGGGAGGCGGGGAACTATTCCTGGCTCGCCACAGATAATCGAGCGATCCTTTCAATTAATCATGGCATTTAAAAACAATTTCCCGAGGAAAAGGATGAATTGGCGATAAATTGCCGGTAGAACAACTAGCAGCAAATTTAACCGGCCTCGGCCCCCCGCCCGATGGCTAACGACGCGTTGATGCGATGGGCAATTTGGAGGAGAAAAATGATCGCCCATCCTGGGCACGACAGTCGTCCCAAAAATCACTTCCACCGTTAAACAATTACTTAGACTTAAAATGCTTATTTTCTATTTAAAAGATACGAACTGTGCAGTTTTGTTTTGGGTACCTGAGTAAAATGCATGAGCCTTCCATCATCATTACCCAATTTTTTTTTACACAAACATGGCTCAGTGACTTGGTGAAATTTAATGTGATCGTTTTGATAGAAAGATGTACATTTGCCTAATATTTCTCTTGCAAATAAGCTAATTAAAAGATTGATCATTTTTGAGGATCAAGGATCTCGTTCCACTTTTCCACGTATTTTCAGAAAAACCCCCTTAATCTGTTTTTTATTTGTGTTCATATTTTAACTCTATTAAATCCATTATGTTTCGTGGTCCGATTGACCAAATAACTTCTTTCAATTAACTAATCTTTATATAAGGTTTTGGTTGAAATGAAAAAGTTAGTGTAACGAGCGGGATTCGAACCCACGACCTTCGGCTAAATGCGCAGCTCCTCTACCAGCTATCGTGAGTTCGATCCCCTCGGACACCAACTTCCCACCCCAACCTACCTTTCGAATGTTCCCTCCTTTTTTGCCATTTTTCAAATGTCGTGTAATCAGGATTCGATTCTCGGCGACAAATTTTAATTTTATATTAAAAAACAAGTATGATTTAAATATTGCAACGTTTTGATTCACTTTTTTGGAAACGTATCCAGCCATGATGAAGAATGAAACAGTCAAAAGATTCGCGGAGAAATAACATCTTCCATTCCAACCCTCATCCTCAAATATTCTGAATCTACGCTAGTCAACAACTACTTCTCTTACAATTAAAATTTAATTTATGAAGTGCATTTAAAAATCATAAGGAATTAGCCTTTAAACCGGTAGAGCTGGGTTGTCGTTAATGAAGAATAGCATGAAATTAAAAAGTTAGTTAATTTTAAAATTGGCATCGAATTTTAATACAAATTAAATATATTATGTTTTGTGGTCCGATTGACCAAATAACTTCTTTCAATTAATTAATCTTTATATAAGGTTTTGGTTGAAATGAAAAAGTTAGTGTAACGAGCGGGATTCGAACCCACGACCTTCGGCTCGATACGCTGCTGCTCGAACCATTTGAGCTATCGCGACAAGTAATGTATTCACAGTTGAAGAATATGTCGGTTATCATGAATGGTAATACTGGTACTTTTCAAAATTAAATTACTGCGATATCATTTTTAACTATATTGTGTGTGATAACATAAAACACCTATAACGCTCTACTAAAAAAACATTTGCCAAATTGTTTATTTAACACGATTAGCGGAATTTTTATTGCCTCGGCACCGTCGGATATATTTTTTCCTTGATTTTGTTAGGCTGTTTGTTTGTAGCTTAAGCATTTACGAAAATGATAATCGAGGCAATTTTTTTTTAAAATAAAAAGCACCGTTGTGTTTGAACTGTTAATAAAACGAGAATTTTCCTTATCAGTGGAATTATCATTAATCCCTTCAAGAAGACATGCAATATTTGCAAGATGTATTATTGGCAAATAAAAAAGTGATATATTGTCCACTTGTGCTGAATGTGTTGTGAATTATCGGAAAATTATTTGTCTATAATTAAATATAGCCTTAATATCATAGCGATTCACGCGTCTTAAGATTAATTATTTATGATTAAACAATAAATAATATTTGTATGAAGTGAGGTTAGATAACATTTTTTTTCATTGTTTTCGTTGTTTTCTATGATTTTAAAAATAATTCTTTCTTTTGTTAAAAATGTGTACTAATTGTTGTATATAGTTTAATTGTTCAATGAAACATGTGTACAAAATATTTCCAACTTTAATTTTCCTTTAGAGTTATGTGAAAAATATTGAGGAAAAAAATAAGGAAACTCGTCCGTTAAATTCAAAATGTTTCTTTTTCTTGAGTTTATAATGCCAAATTATGTTTGATGAGTGGAGTAGGTTTACTAATACCTTAGTTTGTACTTTACTAAATTTTACATGACTGTTCTTTAGATACGTCAAGAATTGTCAGAAATTTTATGTCCCATATGAAATGTTTAAATTTGTTATTATTCACTTGTAGATTTTTGAGGTTTTCAAATTACAGTGGCTGCAGTAGCTTCGAGAATATTTTAACATATTTGTTACTTAACATCATCGTGATCCAGTTCGGGCGATGATGAATTTCCAAAATTAAAATACGCACCCCCCCCCCGTATTATATGAAAGGGCCTCTTCACGTCTCGCTGGGCGAGAGCCACCCCTTTTTTACTTTGAGAGCCTCTTTGTATTTTTCATTCGAATTTACGGTTCGCGTTAGAAATTCCATTTTGTAAGCGAGTGTCAGCCGTAAACTGGGATGTGTGTTTGAGAAAGGGTCAGTCCCTCAGACTACAACTCTTGTGGACAA